CGGCCTGCACACTGACCAGGGGCTGCCTGTGTCGCCTCTGTCACCGTGCGGCTCTGGGCTCTGCTCTGCCCAGCCCATCCCACTCTGCTCTGGTCCCACACTCCCCTCCCAGTCTCTCCTCTCTACCTCCCCTGACCAGAGACAGTTTTCTTCACTTTGCAGTGACTGTCAGGAGACAGACAAGTGATTCAGTTGGTGACACATCCTACACAGTCTCCACACGCAGGTCTCCAGTGTTGAAATAGTTTATTTTACCAATGAAGTAGTGCTGGTTTTTGTGTTAATAGACTGATTGAGTCCTCCTTGACACGGAATTTCCAATTCACAGCTTGTTGCTAGATTCGGAACTCACCCCTGAACTCTGTTTGATAACACACTAATTCTGCCTCGCTGAACAGAGACTGAATCAAGTACACAATACGGTTCTGCTGGGGGAAATGTTTCCTAATCTTTTACTTGTTTAAGACCGAATGACCTGGGCCACCAGAATGGCTTCTGGTTTGTTGGCAGAGAGAATGTGATGCTAGAAAAGCACACTAAATCAGAATGAAGCTGCTGCAGTCCCCACAGGGTCAGTTCTTAGCACATCCCTCTGCACTCCAGCATGGCAGGGTTACAAACCTGGCATCTCCAGCTCTGGAATGCTGTAGGAAGAACATCCCAAGTAGCTGAGGTTCAAAACTTTTGCTGTCAGAGCTGGGGTGGAGGCAGTGTGGAGGAGCATGTGAAGCCCCTGCAGAAGGCAGAGATCTGCTCTGCTGCCTGACTGGGCCCAGAGCTGCCCTTCCACAGGTTTTTGCAGGACTGGATAAAGCTGTGAAGATAAAAAGGGAGTTTCCTGTGCCTTCTTGGAAAGCTCTCAGCTGAGTGGGAGCGGTCACAGTGCCACCCAGGAGGCTGTGCCAGCTGGGAGGTGCCACTGTCCGGTCCCTGCTCATGCTGGGCTCCAGGCACTGGCACAGGCAGCTGCTTGCCAGCACTGCTGCTGCATTTGTGTCTGCAGCAGGGGCAGGGATGGAGCTCCACATCAGTGCTGGGGTTCCCTAATGATTCTGCATCTGGCAGGGCCCTGGCGAGGGCAGGAGGCTGTAAGGGTGAGTGGTGGCGTGGCTGGTGGGAGTTGAGCAGGGAACAACAACAAACAGCTCCTGTGTGTTCGTGACTTTGCCTGGGACAGTTTGCTGTTCCCAGGAGCTGTTTCAGAGCTGTGTTTGGTTCAGGATGAGGCTCCCGTTGATAAGAGCCCCATGGTTCAGCTGCTGTGAGCAGTGCTTGCACTGAGCCAAGGACTCCCCAGGCTGCAGGGGCAGAGCCAGCAGAGCTGCCCCAGTGCCCAGAGGAGGTTGCAGAGCACAGGGCATGGTGCTGAAGGAAACACCGGGGGGATCTGGCCGAGGGGTGAGGCCACTGCTGAGGGGGTGGCTGTGCCTGGCTCAGAGGGTGGTGAGCAAGCACCCTGTGCAGCACTTGGTCTGGATATTCCTTTATATGGTTATTGTAATTTTCCTTTTCTGTTCTGTTTAACTGTGTGTATCTGAACCCAAACGTTTTGCCTTTTTTTCCTGATTCTCTCCCCATCCAGGAACTTGGAGTGACCTGGTCCCGTGCAAGGAGACCCTGCCTGTGGCTGGGGTGGGATGAGATGAGCTTTAATGTCCCTTCCAACCCGAACCATCCTGTGACCCCTGGGAGGTGAGTTTCCAGTTTAACAATCAATTTCCTTCCATTGCAGAGAGAAGAGAGGTGTAGATCCCTGCAGGCCCTGATGCAGAGCAAGAGGTGAAGGGAGAAGGTGCTGCTGGGCCTCTTCCACCACTGAAACAAAGGAGACAGAGGGCGAGTCACCGATGGACAGGGCAGGAGCTCTGCCTGACCCTGCAGGTGGATCCCCTAGCCCTGCTGAGACACAGAAGGAGGAAGAGGGATCCTCACTGCTGGGGGATGTCACAGCCCCAGAGAACCACACAGAGCCCTCGGCTCAGCACGGGGCTGGCGACTCTGCTGAGGTGGCGTCCCTGCTGAGGAAGGTGAGGATCCCGCTGGGGAGCAGCTGTGAGTTGTTGCTCTCTTGTGTGAATTGAGGAGGCCAGGCTGCATCCCCCCCTTCCCCCTGGCCATGCCGGGGAGCTGCAGCCTGGCTGTGTTTGCTGAGGCTGTGCTGTGTGTGCAGAGCTGCGGTGCCGGGAGGGGGAACCACAAATTACATGAGTCAGCTGAGACACTGCAGGCTGCTCCGTGCTCCTGCTGAGCGAGTCTTGAATATTAAACCTACACAGCTCCCAAGAGTTATTTGCATTTCACTGGCTGGCCTTGTCCCTCCTCTTCCTGATCATTCTCTCTTAGCCCTGTGTTGCAGGAAGATGTCAGCACTTGCTGCAATGGAGGGGGTGACAACGAATTTCCCTTTGGCAATGAATAAACAGACATTGTTGTCTTTGTTTTTCTCTCTTTAATAGAAAGGGAAGAAGACCAAAGCAAAGAAGTCCATCTCTGAGGAACAGGACTCTCTGCCTCCTCAAGGCACAGCACCAGCTCAGCCCACAGAGCTGCCTGACACAGGTGCTGCTCCTCCAGAAACCCAACCCCCCGGCGGTGAGGGGGCAGACCCAGGTGCTGATGGACGTGCTGAAGCCGGTGGAGACACACCTGGAGGCGACAGGGATTTGGCCCAGCTGGGGAAGGGAGCTGGCAGCCTGGAAGCAGAGGGGCTGAGCCCTGCAGAGCAGAGCAGCACTGCCAGGGGGGCTGCCACAGCCCCGGGGGACAAGGTGGGGGATGGCAC